AATGTTATAGCTGTTATTGTTCTGTCGGCTGCAAAAGCAGTCGAATTTTTTTGTAGAATTCCCTATATTTCAATTGGCCGGCCAATAACAGTCAGCAAGCGGCAAACGGCGAAGAGCCGAACGTCGAATTCGAGACATCCGTTGCCGGCTAGCGTCAAGATGGCACGATGTCGACATTAGCGTTCGCATGGGTGCCCTCGATGTCTACTAGCACAGCGGCCTCGTCAGTTCCGCCCATGTTCGCTTGCTTGTGCGTACGCTTGCATTCGTTAGCATAAACGCTAGTCCGAATACATTAAGGTGTCATTGTCATTACTGCCCGCCTTGTATATTTCGTATTATGGCTATACAGTATTAGCGCAACAAAATGGCGTCCATCATGCGTCTGACACTGCTCATGACGCTGCTGCTGCTGCTGCTACTATGTAAACCGTGTTTCCGCTGTTTACGGCCCTCAACTAGACAAGATTGCTGCAGCCAATCAAAGGCCCATCAATTGCCAACCATACGAGAGTGAGGCCTATGGTAACCCTAGCCAATGGAAAGGACAGAAAAATGACACATGAACGTTATGTCGAACCCTTGATATGCTTCTCACATGTATCCATGTATAAACAATGCGCAGATTCAGTGCTGCGGGCTAGGTGAGTCTATACCGCGGGCTCGTAATGGCCAGCTAGCGCACATTGTTGTATAGTAGTATATATGTTGTATATATAGTATCTGTTTAGAGCACACGATGCGTTTGAAGATAAGGAAATCGCTTGATCAAGCATAGCCATTTTTCCGAAGACTTCATAGTTTAACAGTGATAGAAGCGTAGATTGCTGTGTATCGGGTCCGCGGTTCCGTTGAAGTGTTGCGGAATAGGAAATAAATAATTCAACATACTAGTGTTTGAGGTTCGCCATACGGCAGCCTTTCATGCGTCGACTGACTGCGTTTGGCTAGTTGTGCAAAAATCCGGACGGTGGCAGCACAGTATTTTCACGTGACACAGATGATTATAGTGTGAAGAAGATATTGAGATAGCGCAAGAGATGGCGCTGTCTGTGATTGTTGGAATAACATTTCGCTGGAATCGCTGCAAATGGCGGTCGGCTTGATTTATCAACTTGGCGCACGATACCGCTATTAGAACAGTAGTCGGCTTTGAATCGGCTATAGGGCGTTACACGTTTCGTCAATCGACAAAATTAATCAGGTTATGTAACCTGCTTTCATCACAAAGGACTTTCGTAAGCTAATGCGCATGATAAACGTGCAAGTAAAAAAAGAATAGGCGCTATGGCACGGATTATCGAGAGGCCTTTCGGGTATATGGGGTGAAAGACTCTGTGCTGAAACTGGATGTATTGTACGAAAATTACACTGCGTCTAACTATAGAAATATCGTTATATTGCAGACTTGTTTGAAACTCTATTTATTCCTCTCTCAAGAAAATACCATGTTAGCAATGAAAAAATTATATCAAAATCCGCAATAGTAAATAAATTGAGATAAAGTGAATGCCTAAATGCGTTAGATATGTTACTAATTGACAAAACCAGTCTCCAACTGGTGCTATCCTGAAGTTTGCTGTAGTGTAGCAAGTGAGTGCGTAGAGTACGCTTGCGGAGAGCCGCGATCCCTGACATATGAACGTTTCAGGAAGCAGCAGGCAGTGCGGTCCAACTGTTCCAGGAGAGGGAAGTATGATCCAAATAATCCAAAGCTCGTTACTCGTTGCAACGGCTCCTCCGTGATGAGTACAGCTGGTGCCTTCTGTCATCGTTCTTTGCTGCCTCCGGTGGTCCTGCCCGAAGGCTTGAGCTACATAGTCCATCAGCTCGTGGCCACGATGGCAGTGTTGATGAATGATGTCATCGCAGAGCTAGGCCAGTCAGTCCACCGCGACAACGCTTCCTGTTGTCTACGGATGGTGCTCATGGCGTCAGCGTAGCAGTTTCTCAACGCGATGTTCCGTGCGCGCCCTTTTGAGTGCGTCCAGCCGGCACGAAGGCCAAGGCGACAAGCCAAGCGTGTATTTGTCGCTTGTTGTCTGCATTTGTTAAACATATTTACGCACTTACGCCTACGTTTGGCTAAATGATTAATTATCTGTAACTGTCTTCGTTAGAAGGGAATTTGCCTGTGTCTAGATCCTACGGTGTTCGGCGACTGGAAATGGAAAATCTGCCTTGAGATCTCATTAAGTAAATAAATGGAACACGTTAGTTGGTTATAATCACTCTACTTAACGCAGTGAGCTATTGACGGGTGTTCACAGGAGAGGCTATAGACCATAGCTTACATAAATAGAACGTCTTGAGAAACTAAATAATAATCTTAACATTCATTCAACCACTCTAATATAACGCTAGAACATGATTATGTACCTACCAAACTCAGAATATTCTATTGAAATTTCTACGCTATCTGAACTGAGGATATGCGAAACTCGAGCAAAGCTCAACAACTCTTTAGGGATGACTGTGTTTGTCTATAAAGTGGCCATATTACACAACGTTTCCCTGCGATAGATGTCTAGCCCTAGTGCGGACTTGGGGTTTTCAGAGAATACTGGGCTGGAAACGTTGCCGTGTTCTTATTGAACGCCTGTCTATATAAATCTAATTCAACTCTACTGCCGAAGATTGCAGTTGCAATAAAAACAAATAAAGCCAGATACCTTTCTGGCTGTCGAGACTCTCGAAACTTATTCGCCTATATACTTAATCCCGTCTCTTCCTGCCCCCCTTCATCGTTACCGTTTGCCCTGGTTATGTACGCAATCCTACGGTTTGCCTTTTCAACCCAATATCTCTCTTGTCTCAAATGCGAGACTCATTTTCGTTCTTGCTTACTAGTTCAGTTTTTGAGAACTGAATCTGTTTCTATGGGCGCCAGTACATGATCCGTCAATCTATTGCTGTCGCATGTATCGCATCGCAAGTAGCGGTAGCAATAACGGTAGAACTGGTGATGCCGGAAGAAACCGGTTTACTTTGCGACCCCCGACCGACCAGTGTCTTCGCGGCTAGACGACCTCTCGAACCTTTTCAACCGGCTGTCATCGTACCCGTTCGTAGTGCGCGCGATGCCGGTACGATACAAGGCGACGAATACAGCCAGACAAACGGGCAAAAGCAGAGCACCGCTATGGGCGCCTTCTTGACGCCGTCCGTTCGTCCGTCCGTCCGTCCGTCCGTCCGTTTGTGGGCTTGTCTTGCCATTGATGATGGACTAGAAACCAAAGAATGAACCCCTCAACGTAGACGGGGGAGAGAACACGCGTCTGGAGAAAGCGAGGAACATCGCTTCAAGATGAAAAGGACATAGGCGTAGAAAAGCAGGTAGGAAGGGAGGGACAAGAGCATGATACGCATATATAAAATAATACCCACAATCGTGACCCAACTCAGAGTGAATCGAGACCTCGTTGTGAGACGGCGGCTTTTGGTGGGACTCGGCGGCGTCGCAAGACGCGCGCGTCAGAGGAACAACGGCAATCCCACCATCGTCAACAGGAGGGCCATCTTGATCTTTTAAATGACTTGTGGCTACCGTTGTTTTGAAATGTCAAAATTGTCCACAATTCTAATAGTTGCTTTTACCGCCGCTACTGTTCGTTGTACCAGTTCGTTGATCGTTGTAGCCAGTCGAATTTCCCACTGGTTGATCAACTGAGCATTGTTGCTTTCAAATAAATCACTGTAAAGCGGCATAATTGAGCAGTATGGGTCGCTTGAGCTTTTGTGAGAGTTTTTGTTGTGCTGCCTAGTGTTAATGTATTGTACAAAAGGGGTGCTACCGTTCTGAAGCCGTTAAAGTACCCTATGAAGTTTATCAATTTGTGCAGCATCAAAAGCGAACCAAAACAGCTATATGAACATAGTTGGACACGACTGTGCGTGACTGTGTGCCATTGACGTAATACGTGACGGCGAATCGCGTCGTTTTCAGACGCATCGTGCATGTTCTTAAACCGCTCAAAGAGTAGATGTAAGCAAGTTTGGTCAATTGCCTCTTTAAGTAGAATTACTAGATGTAGGTATAATGCGTCTGTTTTGCTATAGATAGCACAACAGCTAATCGAGGTTTAGTTAGTTACGCAGGCCCTGCGTCTGTGTATGATCGAAGAGAAAAAAATGTTGACTATCTTTTTGTTAACAGTTAGGTAGCTATACGTTAGCAGATGATAGGATTAAGTTATCTATCAGATTCGATGTATCCTTCTAAGGGGCTAACTCGGTATATTATAGTGTAGCGTGGTCAGTACCGCAGAAGAGGAGATTGGATCTGGGGTGTACAAGGGCTTCACTGATTAATTATATTTATTGTGGTGAAGTTGGTGTGATCGAGAGAGAGAGATCGCCGTGGTAACGCTCTTTTAATGAGTCTTTTCACAACAAAGATATTCTGTCATAGGTTATCAAAGGAATAAGCTGGTAATTTCAATTGTGTTGCCTTGATAAAAGCCCATTTTTAGAAAAGGCGGTACGGCACATGTTTTCGTAAAGCTTTGGGCTTATGAGCTTTTGAAAAAAAATACATACTTGATTTAGCTAATGCCCAGATTAAGTATGTGTGCTCTGCGTTGTAATTTGAAGTCTTTGCATACTATCCAGGTCCTCACAATGGGACTAAATCTTTGAGTCAAATTAAATAGCCAGTGGTGTTTACCAGTACTCATAATGAAGGCAGATCTTGCATGTTTTGAGCTTGCACCATGTATTTTTTTTTGGAAAATTATCGTACTCGAACAACGGGGTACCAGCCGTTCTAGTTGTCGCGCGATAAATACCTACTAGATAAAGTATCAGTTACCTATATCTATTGGTATAGCGAAGCAGGTCGAAAAAATTGACTAATCCGCCCTTAAAGGCTTCCGCATCTTTACAATGTCAATAGATCAGGACCCTAAGTTGATACTGACAGTTTAAAGCAGAATAAGTTATTTGGCTTTTATTTCGAATTATGATATTTCACGTGAACGAAATGTTCAACTCAGTGGGTTACGCAAGCACTCCATGTGGTGTAACTTCAAGTGTCTATCAAATTAGACCTATCCGTTAAAAGTACAGCTAATATCACTTATATGCAAAAGTTCTTAGTGCCACTATTTTGTTCGGCGAATAAGTTACATGATATCATACAGCCTTCGGTACTGTCCTTTTTTTTTTTGCTTTCCTTAAGAAACCGGTGACTGTCCTTTTCTCTTTGGAAGGGCAGATTGAATCTATGCTTCACCGGATTTATCCTATCTAAATGAATGGTCCCGAAGTCGTCATCGCTTCACTAAGCAACTAACAGAAACGAAAGACCACTATCAACAAAGGTCTTCTTATCTTGATACTTCAATGACCTCGTATCTTTTCCGCTATTAATGTTAAAATTTGGGTCGGGTGCGTCAGAGTTAGCAACTTAACAATTTTGCCGTGTTTCCCATGTGGATAGAATCCGAAAGTTAGAGACGCCGTAGCGAACTCTTCAAATGCAGGTTTGTTTTTATTTTCTGCTTCATAATGCCCTCGAAATAAACAAGGTAGATACGAATGGTAAAAGGAAAATATACGTCCCATAGGTTTTAAATCCGTAGCCTACGTGATATGCTCTACGAGTGCTTGGCATTATCTACACATGACTGTAACCTTGGGTTGATCTCTTGTCATGAGACTAGGACATTTTATTTAATCACATATGTCTAGACGATTTGTGGGGAGACGTTGACGCCAAAAAAATCCTTTGGGGGCGCGCTGCTCATACCATAGATGAATAAGGCCTGTCTAACCTTAGAGGCAATTACTTGACGAAAGAACAATTTGCAAAAACTAATTTTTAAGTTAGTCAGCATTATTGCTACTATCGCTACCTGTGTGGTCCGCTCAACTACACAGGAGTCATATTTAACTTAGAGCTGACTGAGTTACCACGTTGTACAGCAGTTTACTTCTAGGAGACATGAACCGGTTACGCAGCGTCCCGAACACGGCGACATTTATTCTTTTCACGTGTTGAACCTTTTACCTATAAACGTTCACTGACCCAAACACAAAGGTAACGGCGAGACTGGCAATGCTTCCCTATATGCGGTTTGCAAGTTTTCTAGCAAACGGGGTTTGATATATCGACGCTTGTCTCGTCTGCGAGTGAACCGCGAGATCTCGAACGGTCGATGCGACTGACTATTCAATAGTCGCGGCGCGCAGCTCGTTCGCACTATCAAGGCTACGGAGGGAATTAAGGCGAGAAGGTGCTTAAAGCGATTACGACAAATGTTCTTAATCCAGGTTAACCATTATGGATTCACACAGTGATGGCCTAGCGAACATAGGTCAACGGACCGATAGCTATACGTTGTCTTGTGCTATAAATGGCGTTGCATTGCCCGCCTAGGTAAGCCAACTACTAAAGTTGACTGGCCGATTTGTCATGATAATCATAGTGTATAGAATGGACTGTTACTAATGCACACAGGTTGCCATTAGCTTATAGATTAACGGAGCCGTCTATGGTAAATCACACCGACTTTCGAGTGTAGTGTTCGCTAGCTATACGCGTGCGTGAGACAACGCAATTTAGAAAAAGGAGGAGATCCGTCTGTTTGTCTGTTAGTTAAACCTGTTAGTTTTCAGCCAGGCAGGCAGGCAGGCAGGCGAGCAGCTTTCTGTCGGCTAGTGTTCAGCACTAGGCACTATTCTCATAGGATTTGGTTCCACAACCACCAACATAGTATTCGGTGCTTTCGAACAGCGCCTCTCATAGTAAACAACATAGTGGCTTTCGCTTCAGCCAAAGTATATATCGTGACTTCACTGTTTTTTTTTTTCGCCCCATACTATATTATAACAGGCCACTGACGTCGATATCGTCCTTGTAAATTGCACAGCGTCACCTTGTCGACTGACAGCTTAGAGCTGACAGAACTGACGGAAGGGGATAGGTAGACGGCTCCGCCGACATATTTCGGAAAGTGGAACTCGAAAAGAGGAAGCTGTTGTGTGTGTGTGTGTGTGTGTGTGTGTGTGCGGTTCTGTGGTTCCACCGTTCCTCGATATTGTTTGCGGTGACGTTTCGTTGCCGCTTGTTGACACCGTAGCCTCTGACTACTAATGGCCGTCATCTGCCAGACGTGTTACCATAACGTCGATTTATAGTCACTGTGGAAAGCAGTCAGAGGGGCAACATTTAGACAAATTAATGTAGAGCTGTAAAAAGAGATAGCGCTTTTCTGAGACACTTAAATATCTTCAATTCTATTCGTTATTCGTATGTGCCCATCTTCATCATTGTCAGCTCTCCTTCGACTGGTCGAGAAGAGTATTGCCGTTGTAGCCTGACCCCTCTACGTTGTCACGTCTCAAATACGAGGGAGGAGATCCCTTGCCGGATAAACTCACATTGAGAGCAGCGTCGTCTCCCACAGTCTACAATATCGAATCCCAAATGCTTTAGACGGCTCCCGTTTCATTCGATGATGGTGGTTGTGGCAAGGCGTCTAGAAAGATGAAACCTTTCAAAACTAAGAACAAAAGAGAATCACGTTTTCTGCTGTTTTTCCCTCGAAAATAGGAGAGATTCGTATTGTATCGCAATGCAAGATTTCCAGCAGCCATTAGTGTATCCGGTAACTTCCTTGCAGCGACAGTATAAAGTGGGCGCCGTCGCTGGGCATAGGGCATAATTGTTGTCTCTACTCTTTATCGAAACGGCCCGCTGCACCACGCAGAGCAAAGCCTGGTGCTCTGTCAAAACAAAATACCCTTGCTGTTCGGATAGAACTAATTAACCAATTTATAAATGATTGTTTATATCGTGTATGTTGAAATACGTGACTAGTACAGGTGGGCTAATTTTCCTAATACGTGAAGTGTCTCCGTTTGTACATACGCAGCGTGTGAATCCGTCAACATGGTGCAGCTGCACAGAAAAATGATTGAGCTATCAACTACATGAGTCTGTAGTGACGAGTCATGACAAGTGATATTGTTTGTGGATAGCTGATGACATTCTACAAGGATCGTTTCTTCAGCTAGCGGTCACTAGAAAATTTTTAATTTTCTTAAATAATTAAACCAAACGAACTAAATTGATTCGCGTACGTATCGGGACGCAAGATGAATTGCAAGATCATAGATCGCTGCACCAGTGCCGCAGAGTTGCAAACATCGACACGGCGCGCTCGTGCCCAGCACCATCATACAAAATGTAATGGTTTTCTTTACTGTATATATGTGATGCTTATAGGCTTGAAACAGACTTATTTCTGATATATTGGTGCATATATCAAGCAGTCCATGTTACTCTATATAATAGCTTTAACAGCCAGTAGCAGTAGGAGTCGTATAGACGGTTATGCGACGATAGACATTATCGATGTGCTCATTTAGTACGCAGCTGGATTTTTCAAATTACAAAGGGCGCATAAGGACCGCTTGTAACAGTGTTTCTAATACGTTTTCATTCTATTGCTGCTTCGCTAGGTCGGGAGCGCCGACTCAGAATGCGATCAGAGACCACTGGTCTCTCAATGGCGAGGGAGTGCCAACGCTTCGCAAAAAATTCTCGTCAGCTGAGGCGACTGTACAAAGACACCAAAATCGCCATTGAGGAGGTCATCAAAGGCGGATACTTCAGCAAAGGTATTTCTAGCTTTGATTTTTACGCCTATCGTTTCTCTTTTTTATTTTACAGTTACACTTACGGGTCATAGTAGTATAAATAAATCGTCAGCTATACATGTTTCCATGCATACGCGAGCTTTTGCATACGCCAATATATGATCGATAAATCCTGACTGCCGCAAGATAGAGTAGGCGGTCGGGTCGGAGGGTCTCCGATTCGAATCTAATCGGGCACATGCGGTTCTGTACACGTATAAGGTAAATTACATATTAAAAAAGTTAATATATATATATATATATATATATATTATATAAACTTCATTAAGATTAACAGATAAAATCTAATATTCGATTAAAGCGATAACAATCAACAACGCGATATCGTATCAGCTGGGACGACCTTGTGCTTTTTGTCGAGTGTAACTCATTTCGTGTGCGTATGTCTGACCTTAATATGCACTGACTTAACAGCGATTACTGGATCGACCTTTTTCTTTATGAAACCTTCGATCGAATCCTGAAAGGCACGTTCTTCTTCTTCTTCTTCTTCTTTTAGACTATAGCCTTCGCTGTAATCTCTACGCTTCATAACGTATACGTACCCACGCATAACAGTTTTAGCTGAACACTCAGTCGACAGTCTGCTAGCGAAAGAAATAGGCGACAGTAGAAATGTAACCCGTAGAAGCCGGTGCTAGCTGTGCTTTTTTCACGTAACATAGGCCTGCATGAATTTTTGAGTTTGATAAATACTTACTTTGACTAAATGGCAAACGTTCTTGAACACGATGAAACTTGTCTATTTTTTTTGTGCAGAACAAGTAAATCACCTCCGTCCCTCAGAAGAACAGGAATCAACGATAGCTCGAGCGGTGGCGGGCCGAGTAGCCATTGTGGTGCTAGGACGCAGTTGTACAGCTAAGGCAGCTGTTATCAATGAACTTTTCGGCAGTCCAGTTCTTCCCGGTGGTGTAGCTCACGGACCCGAAGAACTATGGAGAATGGTGCGCTTCACCTACGGCCAACAAACAGAAATTAGCTTAACGGTACCAGATTCTGCCTATGACCTCATGGAAGACCTTGCAGCGTATGATCAAACATGGCAGACTATCCCCAGGGCTGATCTGACCATCGACGGTAAGCTCATTGAAGGTGGCAATATGTGAAATAACTGAAATTTGAAAGGCTTTCGTATTTTGCTTTTCGTAGAGTAGTTATGTATCGCAGGGCACATATACATTAAAACTATAATAGTATAGAACTCGAATTAACGCGTTTCTTATGGCTGTACTGTACCTTCCTAGGGGGAAAACAAATTGAATACGGTTACTTGTTGTTATGTAATTGATCTGATGCATGGCTTCTTTAAACGTAGGATGTGATGATCGAACAAAACGGACAGCTATTCTTGAGGTGAAAATGAAAAACCCTCTACTTCGCGAGGACGTCACCCTTGTAGCGTCTCCATCCGAAGATTCGATCACTCAGGCACTGTCGCGAGCAACGAACGGGCAATCCACGCCAACAATTGTTATTTACGCTGTTCAAGACGAGTCCCTTTCCTCGAAGGTCCGTATAAATACAGCATAGGTATACCTGTCAATATAAATTACTTTTAATTCCTTCCTTTGTAATGACCCAGAGCGCTAGTAACCCTGTCAGCACGAAATATCCTTTAGCATTTGACATTTTAACGTTGTTTTACAGCACGACAAGTACAGAAGAAGATGTATTCGTACAGAGTGTTCTCTGATTTTATCTTTGTTCTTCTTTACAGGAAGAGCAAGAGCTACGCGAACTCAAATTGACGCTAGGCAGTGCCGATCATGTGCTTTTCGTCAAGTCATCGACTGGCCACTCGGCTTGCATGTGCGATCTCACTGAGTCTGAACAGCATGCTCGACGACAGCATTCAGCGCATACGTTGTCTGAGCTATTTCGACAGTTACAGGCCCTTGGCTTCGTCCTTGACCGGGTTAACTCCGAAGGGCCGTGTTCGATGCTCGTGGACTCCGTGGACGCAATACGCCAGAGCTGCGCCAACCAGCATCAACAAACGAGTACTGGACGTAAAGGCCGCAATCAAACCAACAAGTAGGTCATAAAAAAGGAGAAAAAAATGTTATTCTATTGGCCTTATGTTTTATGATTTACAATTATGTAACGTGTTTTAAAAAAAAAAAGACACATACAAATCATCGGGACATTAAAAAAATCTAGTTGAATCGGACATACGCGGCAGCCGCTAATGCTTTTTGACGTCAAAAGTAAATTACTCTTCCTTATCACAACGGACAACCTTACCAACTATAGATCTGGTAGAAAATAAAAAAAAAAATTGTTCATTTCAAGCAGTTAATCAGTGAAGTGACAAAGAAAATCTGCGACGAAACATTTTTTTCACAGCAACAAGTTCTTATAGAAATAACTACGGGGGAAGTAAAACTTACTTTTTGAACTGTCTCTGTTCTATTCGTTTCAGCAATAACACTAGCAGTGTCGTCCTATTCATGAGGCGGGTTCTACAATGGCTCATTGTTGATGGAGCCAACGCGTTAAATGAAATACAGTCAACTGTTCTTAATATGTTCATGTTGAGCGTATTTGAATTTATTCGAGACCGAAGCATTACCCCGATAAGGATAGAGTACGCTCGTGATAAAGAGGCCGAACTATTCAAAAAATTGCTTGAAGTTGCCCTCAATAAACAAGAAGAAATTCGTTTACTGATAGCGACTACAATCGAAGATCTCCGTGACGAGATTCTGAACAAGTGCGCTACCTTCGAATTTTCAATGGTACCCAGAGACGAGCTTGACGGAGCGACGACGACCACGCGACAGAAGTGCGCGGCACAAATTCAGGTTAGTTTATAACTCAATTTTATAGGAACACTTTTATAGTGTGTATATATTATTGTTGTTTGTGTAAAACGAGTTGTTCTATTTGTAGCTTTCAGATCAGACAAGAAACCCATATTCTTCAGTTATGGAACTTGTATGATGCTTTAAGATTCAAGTTGTACCTCAGTGTGACTCTGCGGAAAAAAGAAGTGGTCTAGTACTCTTTCGGTTTTATTTTTCATAGGACCTCGTGTTGAGCATCCTAAGTTCGGCAGTTGCGGATAAATTGGTCGGGTCAGTGACACTGCTTAAGGAGAGCTTTGTCGGTACTCTCGAAAGGTGCCTAGCAACCTTAGAGGGGACAAATTTCCAAGGCGGAAGCCAACTTAACGAAGACACAACCCACTCCCTACAGGCGAGTCATGCATTGCGTCAGATACTCAACGCTGCCTATCAGGTACGACTACTCATTTATATACAACACAGTTAACCGATAGTTATAGAGTTAACAGATTCAGTATAGTCGTTTACTTAGAATGGCGAACGAGGAACAGGTAATGTGGAGCCCGTACTTCACCAATCCTTACACTGTATATCCTGTGAGGCATTGCAGTTAGAAATGACAGTACGGACGTCGAGTTCTATCTTGTGGGTGTTTCTTGAGAAAATGCGCCAGTTCATCCAGGTTTTTCCGGGTCGAGGTTCACCTTGCATTGACGCTGAATGGAAGCGACGTGTTGCAGCCGGTCTGCTCGAATCACTCTCTGAGTCACGATTGGCTAGATGTATCTGCGCTCAGTTCCGCGACAAGTAAGCGATAATCCAGAAGATTCCAAGTGCTTACTTGTTTACTCACATGATGAAATAAAAGATCACTTGTGTCTTTATCATTCAGCTGTTTCTCAAGTGTACTCTTAATTTGTAGCCTAACTGAAATAGTGTTCCGGTTAACGGGGACTAAGTAAATAACCCATGTCAGACTGTGGATAGCCTATGGTCAGCATCATGTCGTTAGCTAAAATAGTGTTTTGTTTTTGGTTACCAGGCTGAGGAATAGCCATGAAAGATTCGTGGCTGCTATGACAAAGTTAAAGGCTGACCATGATGGACGCATTGATATGATTAAAAATGACAAGGACAAAATTCGCAAGGTACTGGCACCACGTATAGCCAGGTAAGTTCACTATCTGCGCCGACTGTGCTAGTCATAGGGAACCATGAAATATCTAACCATTTTCACATTTAAACCTTTTACGATGATTATCTTTAGGCTTATTTACTACTAGTTGCAACTCAGTTAAGTGCAGCTATTTTCTCTGGTGGCTGATGGCCCTAAGGTGGCCTATATAGATCCTGTAATAATTGCGACAGGTGATTACATAGTTGTATGTATGTAAAGTAGATCGTTTATCATTTCTTTTATTGGACTAGATGGCGTTGGATATTTGTTATTTTTGAGATTAGCGCGTCAGCCATATTGGCTATGTGGAACTTGCAGATACTACGCAGCCCTTATTTGTTCGCATTAATGAAACCAGCTCGTGAGATTCAAGTACGTATCTGAGAGGTAACTGCGCATTTTTCTTCTTGCTATGCACGTATTCATAAAGATGCATACAATTTATTTGCAGATATTCCCTCGAAGCGGTGTCTCTCCGTGACTCAATTCTCTACGGAATGCCGTGGCTTGGCCGTGAACTCGGTCGGGGCCAATATGGAGTGGTATTCTCGTGCGATACGTGGGGCATAAAGGGACCGGCTGCTGTTAAAAGTGTTGTCCCTCCAGACGATAAACATTGGAACGATCTCGCCATGGAGTTTTTCTACACACGCTCCCTGCCGCCTCACGAAAGGTAAATCATATGGGCATTACGATACAATTTATTTGTAAATCAATGCCTACTTCCCTAAACAGCAAAAAAAATATATATATAATGATGTAGAAAAAAACAATTATAGACTTCGGACAATTCATAACGTGTTCTGCTTCTACAGTCGTTTGTGTTTGATATGATTTACGATTTTTTTTTATCTAATGGAAATAACTTTGTTTCATTTTTGCTGTTTTCACGCAAAAAACATAGACTGGTTCCGCTGCGCGGCTCTGTAATTGACTACAATTACGCGCCGAACACTCCCGCTGTACTACTCGTCATGGACAGGCTTACTCAAGATCTCCATACGGCACTTCACAATGAGCTACCGTTCTTAACCCGAATGCAGATCGCTCAAGACGTCGTACAGGGCATTCGATTCCTGCATTCCCAGGTATGATGGCAATATAATTATTTCTAATAACCTATTTGAGCCTTATCATTGAGATGTCTGCACATAGCGCATTCAATTCTATTAGATTCTAACGTAAAAATTGTTATTTGCTACAGGGACTCATGCATCGTGACATTAAATTAAAAAATGTCCTCTTGGACAATAAAAATCGAGCTAAAATTACTGATCTCGGCTTCTGCAAGCCTAACGCCATGATCTCGGGTTCGATTGTGGGTACACCTATTCACATGGCTCCTGAGTTATTCTCGCAGAAGTACGATAAACGCGTAGACACGTACGCGTTCGGCATACTCTTCTGGTATTTGTGCTCCGGGAGCACACTGTTGCCAGCCATTTTTGCCGACTGTCCCAATAAAGACTCCCTATGGAACAATGTGCGCAAAGGCGCCCGACCCGAAAGGTACGCTGGAAACCAATTTAGCTCACCAAATTGCCTTTAGCAATTCACAGCTAAAAATGACTGTCAGTTACTTCTAACCTATATAGCTAGAGCTGCTTGCTCATTATATTACCGGGTTTATCTAGGATTCATTTTGACGTTTTACTTTTCACTACGCCATAACAGACTACCGGTGTTTTCGGACGCATGCTGGGAGCTTATGTCACAGTGTTGGCATCGGGAACCCGATCAGCGGCCTCATTTGGGCGATGTTGAGGAACGCATCTTAGCAATTATGGCCGCACACGAAAAGGACGATGAGCGATTGCACGACTCAATGGAAACTGTATGGAGTGCGGAGGACGCAGTCGACTCGGCAATGTCGCACCACAATAACTACAATGGACATGCAACTCACGTGATGAATAACACTCCTTTAGTGAAGACCTCCTCGGGTCGACGAAAGCAATGGCGACCGCAGAGCCCGACAACGCCGATTCCAGCAAACGTTCCGGTCACGGCCGACGACGCGAACCCCCCAGCGAAGTGGACACCGCTCGTGCACTAGGAAAATGAACGTGACAGCTTAGGATAGAAACGTTACAGATAACAAAGTTTAGCTCGAAATCTGCTTGACTTTAGCAGAGGATCTATCATTATTTTCTTAACATTGCCTTTAGATCTTTCTATCAACCTATATGTGATATGATTTACATGTTTTTCTCATTCTTGAAAAGACAACACCGTTTGAATTATTATATAATGACTATACAAAGAGCCAAAGCGATCCTGTGAGAATAGGGTATAATTTGTATGAGTGTACACTTTCCAGCAGCAATAGCTATTGTTTGATGATATCTGACTAACTTCCCCTACCTGTTATAGCATGTATAGGTGTTACTTGGGCTAAGGCTTCAGTGAAGTGTATTGCCTATATGTGTTCGGCCTCCAAGTAGGTGCGAGCACTGATTGTCATCGTAAGGTCGATTTGTCATTTGACTTCTTCTTTTTTTTCACATCTGTTTAAAGTACCTGCGTGTTTAAGTCTTAGTACGCATGTATAGAGACCCGTGTCAGTATGATTGCGTTGGTACGGATTGGCACTCAGTTGCCGAATGAGCGGAATTACTTCATTTACTACACCTGTGCTCTGCATCCGCATATCTACATTGGTACCACTACCAAGCCTCATAAGAACGCGAGCACTAACTCGAATACTGAGAATGAGAAGCTTAAAATACGCATTTAATCAGTGTACTATTAGAGACCCGGTGGCCACAAGCATTACGGGTTTACTCCTGTCGTCCTTGATAAATGAGCAGATTGGCGAAGTAGATTATTTAACGGCACTAGTCCCAGCGCAGATTAGCGTCAGACGGTTCTGCTTTGATGTCCTTTTCAGTAAAGAAGAAGAAACATTTTTTACATCGGTACGCCGCGTTTTGAAAAGATAAGTCAGCGCATGCGCAGTGCATAAGGGTGTCCATGTAGTCTGTGTGACAGGCGGTGCAGACGGGCGTGCTAAAAGGAGTTATTACGTTATTTAGATGTACAACAAACCATGTACAATGGAAATTATTTTAAGGTCATCGGTGCAAACGCGTTGGCTGGCGAGAGTTCTAACCTATTAAATTTGAATTGGCAATCGATCTAGATTGCGTATCGACTCACGCCAAAGGGCTTGGAAATGGCTGTGCACTGGCACCAACATCACAGCGGTAAAATATTATCGCTAGAAATAATAATCTTTATTATAATAGCTGATTAATTATACGATTAAAATAATCGAAATAATGTAAGACAAATTATCACTTACGACCAAAGGTATTTGCAGACTGTCGAGCACAAACACTTTTACCTCATGGAGCTTTATCGGACATTTCCGCTTATCAAGCTGCAAGTATTCTAGTTTGGTTGGGTAATTAATTTTAATAAACATTAGAAAACTTGGCGTTGTTACTGTAAACATGTTAAGTATTTACAGTATCATGATTTAACTTGCCACATGTTTGATTTTAAAGAGAAAAAAAAACACCGTTATTAGGATAAGAATGGCCGCTGTACGATGACGTGTGGCTCGGATGAGCTGACCGTTATGATGACGAAGTATGAAAGAAGGAGAAGTTGAATTTGAGCTATTTTACTGACGTTTTTCTGTGTCAACGCGCTGATTTACGCATTGTATAAAAATGGTGCAACACTCTCAACAGCGTGATGAACGAGTCACTGAAATCGAGCGAATGCCAATGAAATGTAAGTGAAGTCGTGTGTGTATAATGAATTTCTTGTAACACATATATATATATATATGTCGGAATCTGTCGATGAATATTTTTTACACTCATTTAAGGCCACGGCAGTAGTCGAAGTGACAGCTATATATAATTAAATAATAGAGAGTAGATTTTTGATTTTCCGTCAAATTCAAACGAAAGTTGTGCAAAACGATTCATAACGATAAACTAAACTGTGGGAAAATATGGCGCGACTCAATGGACGTAAGACAGCTAGTAAGTATATACGGCACCCAATCGTTAATCAACTGACAGAGATCTGTTCCCTGTTCATATTTATAACGAATGAATAAAAACAAATTATTTATTAACTGTCATATTTTACTGTTAACTGTTCATCATCATCCGGTGTCCGAGAAGACTCTAAATAAGTGGTCCTCATCTAGGTGTCTACGTTCGAGCTACTACTAAAGGTGGATATATCGATGTGGATTATCCTGTTCCGTACAATCGTTTTATCGTCTCACACAGCTTTCGCTACTGCTACTAGAACAGGTTCGAGATAATATCAGAACACTATTCGTTTAGTCAACGCCTGATCCGCGAATGGTGTCGAAACCCGTGTGTATTTCCTTTGCTGCCTCCGAGTTTGGAAGAACCGGCAGGTCCGAAGACGTCGCCTTATATATAATGAAGGGATAGGAATTACGCCGTTAACGTGCCTTTGCTGTGTGCTTATTTCCTGTTGCTTCTTGTGTGTTACAGACATTTGTAATGCAGTTCAGGACGCTTTGGCGCATTTTTTCGTCGATTTCCACCGATCCAATTCAAATACTTGATACTGTCCACTCAGACGGCCCGCTGCAGGACGGCACAAAGTGTGTTTACAACCAGTTTCGAGCCTAGACCATTTCATTGGATGTTTCACGATTAGTTGCCTAAATGACTAAATTACTTTGGGCAAAGTGTCACGATGATTCTATCTTAAATAAATAATACCTTTTTAAGGGAAACATTTACGGAACACAATCGGCAGGCTCGACGCGTAGCCAGCATCGATCAGACTGAAATCTCACATTCTTATAACAAACGGAGAACATAATCTTTATTTACGTATTTTTGAGCAGAGGTCTGCATGGTAGATCATTCCTGTATCTTTAAATCAGTTCAGATACTTGTTTGTGTCGGACTGACCTAAAAAATATTCGTTCACGTATTAGGTAGGTGTCGAATGCAGGCTTCTTTTTACTTCGAAATGAACGATCAGCGGTGAAGTTCCATGTTTCTCAATTGCTACAAATACAAAGTAGAATGCAACTAAATATTGATGAGATTGGACCTTCCTCGCACCAGGAGGCCTTTGCGTCACCGTAACAATTCAAGTGCAACAACTCCGAGGAACTACACCCGACACGTTCACTAGTGCACGTTATGTACGCGCCGAAAGACTTTATTTAGAAAACGTGTTAGCGAAAAGAAAATACTTAGTGATTTTGCATGATACTATGCGATCTAGAACATTCGACCGCGTGGTGTCGCTCCGGTGTCCTGCGTCTAAGCTAGGGAAAACAAGTAAGTTCGAGAGGACTGTTTGTTACCCGAAGTGACTTTGAAACTAGCCGATCATCGCTGGCAGTGTTCGTACGGTTGCTGTAATGAAATCATTGCTAAAAATTCACTGAAAGCCGCGGACAGCGACTTCGACAAATGCAAATATATTGTCCCTCTGCACTTGTATATCATCTAGCTGTTATTTACGTTGTCTGTTAGCAAAATTATCTAATGCGTACTATAAAATATAAAAGACTTGGCCAGTTTTCATGTCGGCTCCTACGTGCATAAGCGAGTCGTATGCGAGGAAGAACCTGTGGAAGAAGCTCTGTCATGTCAAGTTTTCGAGTGCACAATTAAGGTATCTTGCCAAATTTTAGTGGGACGGACTGAATCCAGAATGCTAATAGGAATAGAAATGATCCGTCTAGTGTTTAAGAGAGAAGTGTTACACGTTTCTTCACGAAGTATGCCCTCGACTGTTTGTCGTTAGTCTGCAAGGTACACGATTGCCGTGTCCGTCCTAGCTGTACGGTGAGTAAAGGCTACGCAGTTTACACTAAAAAATCTCGAATATATTTATATTGACACAATAGATCACTAATCGCGGTTAGGGACACAGAGATGACTGATTGCTTGCATTTCCTGCTCGGTATTTAATCAAAAACTGATAAGTTGCAAATTTAGTCTGTATTTAAACAAATTCGTTCCATCGTGAATAACTCGCCTACTATTTCGAGCGTGTAGAGCTGCCTCCGTTGTTCGAATCTGACCAGTACCGTATAGGCGTAGAAGCTGATAGAGCCAATTCGAAGCTGGCTCTGGACTTCTGTGTAGGGATTCCGTGTAAATGGGGCCCGAAGTATTTCATATGCACGAGGCGCTACAGAAGGGGCCTTGGACTGATCACTCTATAGACCTCCTAAGTAATTGTCATTGCGCTTTACTGACAATTTACACGGATAATGATAAGGAAACTGATAATATAATCTTAACAATTCGTTCTAAAGAAAACTTCGTACTTCCCCTTCCGTTCGCCTAACACACACAACACATTTCACTTCTGCCGTACGCTATCTATCGGCACAAGCACTGAGTACTTTGAAGCTTGTATGCAAATTCTATAAAACAGTTTCTTCGGAACAAATTTAGTGTGTGCTTCGTGCCCAAGAATTTTTTCTTTGAATTTAACCGTCCTCAAGAGGAATCAGCAGATCGAATGGCTCCTTAACGCAACACATTGTCGTTATCACTAGTATTTTATTGAGGGACATTATTGGGCCTGATTGACACGATAGTTGGACAAACATGAAAAACGGAAAAGGCGCAGATTAGCGATCATAGAAAATATTCTCTTTAGAAAACGATTAATTTTTATGAGGATGTGTAAGGCCTATTTGTATAAAATAAGCACTATCCATTTTAATAACATTAAAAATTCGATGATTTGATCGCTAAAACAAATTAGTAAAAAAACAGAGTAATTTTCTCTTTGCTAATAAAAATAAAATTCATCTTATAGGCCCAACGGTGAGCTAACAAATTAAGATTTAAAAAATAATCAAATTGGGAAGCTCGGTGCATTCGTTACAGCGTAACGTAAATAATTAATCACTTATGTTTTTGTTTTTTCCAGTAAAAAGTTGTCTGGACAATTCAGCTTGGTCGTCTTTCCGGAATAAGTAAAGGTCTTTAATCTGCTTTAAACAGACTGGATGACAGGTATTGTGTTGCACCGCATTGTTAACTAGATATATATGTATTGAAATTGAAAGAGATGTTGATGAGGCAGAAAGAGAGCAAAAAAACACTAGCGCTTTTACTATAACGCTAGGATCAACAACTCTATGGGCAAATGCTTTTCGCCGCACCAATTTAGGGCGGTAAAACCTAGCAAGTTGTTGTGTCTTGTGAGCACCTACTAGACGCTCCTGAGCTGCGCTCTTCTTTTACCATTGGACAGGGTGACTGCAAGTCTAGGTAAATTTCTAAGTTTCTTCGTACGCGGATATTACGGATTAGCGCGACTCATAGCACACGCTAACATACAGAGTGATTCTGGAGGACAATGATGCAGTCTTCTGCTGGCCAGCTCGTTAGTGCGTTGTTCCACGTCACCTGAAGGAACGTGGCATCGTGTAGAAACTACACGGTCTATAAACTCGCGTTGTTCCTACCAAGGGGGTCTGGCAGACGCATATGCGTCATTTCTTTACATGTAGCATCGCAACAGTACGGTGGTGGCAGACGAAACTAGGACGAGCACGAGCCAATCGTCCAGCGAATCTAAACCATTATGCTTGCCTAGCTAGTTACTTGACTGGTTCGAGACAAATATATCGTTTAGAATGATCGTACCGTACATCTTTGTTATATTACTTTATATTGCAGATACAAAGTCGGCTTGGTTTTTTGCGCTTGTCACTTCAACATCTGTTTGCAGCCTGAGTCCAGAGAACACTTTTGGTGACGCATACACGTAAACTTTTAGATTAAGCAATTAAATTTAGTTAGTATAGCAGAAAACGTTTCAACGTATGAACTAATACAATTTAAATAGCTACAACGGTCAAAATATAACGATTCATTAGAAGCGATACCCGTTATGTGCGAACACTAACGAAAGAACAAAACGAGCAACGGTACATACGAAATTGGCGCTGGGCTGGTTTGCACTGACAACTTCCAATGCTGGTTGAAAAGTCGTATGAGCGTATATGGTGCACTCAGTACGTGCTATACGTATCCCCGTCTGCCTGTCGCAACAAGAACTGATGCTGGGTGAAACCTAGTTTACTGCAGATAACCTTACGCCTTTACTAGCTTACAAACAAGCATTGAAGTTGAATCTGAAGTATTCTATTAAAAATCTAGTAAAATTAAGTCAATAACTAAAAAGGTGCTCTTCGTGTCCTAACTAGAATGAAAACATTAATTCGTTCATAAAATTTATTTTGCTGGCTACTATAAGGGCAATTGCTTAACACACTATACAGTTAATATTTCGAGCCATAGTTACAAACAAAGAACCTGGTTCCTCCAATGATTCCATGCTCATTATGATAAAATTATATTACTAAATAGAAATGTTGAAATATACATTTATTGCGCAGCCTTTTGTAAAGAAATGAATTAACAATGTTATGTTTTGATAGAGAAAAATCTAATGTTGCTTTCAAATCGTTCAATGTTTCCATGGTTATATATATATATATATATATACATATATGGCCATAGAAACGAACGTACTGTACCATATATATTCTAGTTTTATTTACCCTATTTAGTATGACTTCAAATTTTAGATTATTCGCGCCTTATAAAAAAGGCAGATGATCCCTGCTTGTCCAGTTGGGATATGGCTACAAATGCTGCTACTAAAACTAATCAGGTCTCCGTTAGACAACAAAGAACTGCCTTAGATTTCGCACGTCGTACATATTTGCATACATATAGAACTAGTTTGTGTATCATGATAAAGACAACAATCTTTAGTGAGTTCTCTCTTTCCATTGACCTATATATATATAGACGTCAAGTACATTTTCAAAACAATAAGTTCAGAAGACGTTGACTCGGAAAATCTCTAAGTTTGCCTGAAATCGCCACTAACCCTTTACAGCGTTCACCAAAGTTTGGCTTCTTCTGTGCCAGCTTTTGTGTGGATCTTTCTCTTTTTTTTTGTTTTTATGCATACATATTACTAGCTAAACGTGCACTTATAAAACAAATCAGGAGAGTTTCAAATCTGCCTAATGTTTCTTCGCTTTCTATAGGCTTACGTAGTGCCTCGGGCACTCTGTATGCACGTCGAACAGCCAAATCTTCTTATGCCCTTCCCAATAAAAATAACCAACCAAAAGCCTCAAACTTTTATGAGCAAATTACTTATGCCATGGCAGAACTTCCATTGCTGTCCACGATGTGATAACTTCAGAAGTGAGTGAACGAGATTCCCCCCTTGATAACACTACAACAACAGCACCAAATAGATGCCGATCACTATAGACTAGCGGAAAAAAATGGTGCGCGCTTTACTAAGCATGCGTTTATTGACATATCGTTGAATTTTGGCGCCCTCAACGCTGAAAACATGCAGTTAGCGCCATCTGTCGACGTCCTCTTCAACTACCCGGCCCTTCCCTCGGTGCTTCGAACGGCACCAGCAGCAACGTTGCGCTGTGGCAGGTCATCACCGAGGAGCGGCAATATCAGCATCATTACTACTAGTAATAGCGACAACAGTGGTACGACCGGCAATAGTATCCGCGGCTGCAAGGGAGCAAACGAGTGGTGTCTGCTGCACCTTGACGAACTGAGGAATGTTTGCAGCAAGTCTGCCCCTCCGCCTGTCGGGCTCTCGCTGCTGGTGTCGCGGCAGGCGGTTCGTGTGCGCTGTCGTCGTGTCGTCCGCGTAGTATCGCCGCCGCTAATGGTGTGCTGGTGCGCTGTCTGTCCTGCCATCGGGACGACGACGGCGGCGACTACGGGTTGTCGTCAAGCAGCGGGCACTGAGAGGAAATTCACCAGCACTACCCATAGCAGTTGCAGTACTACAAGTGTTCCGGATACGATTGTCTACGAGGAGACAGCGACGGCAGTTAAAACAGAGCTACAGATAGTAGCACGGTAGAATCGCAGTTGGATTAGCGTAAAGAGCAAAAATAGCTACTGTCTGAGATTTTAAATGTAGAAAGGTGAAGAACGAAGGCAACGCTTAGCTTAGGATATTGACAGTTGCGAGCAGAATACGTTCGGTGAAACTTTATGCGAATAGCTCGATTTACAGATTCAGCTGCGAAGAGTTTCTCGCTTCATATGCTTACGATACAATATCGCAGTAACACACGTGAAATTGGCAGCGGCCGAATAAGAGTTCGGTGAGCGTCAACAGGACTCGACGAAAAAAGGTATCCGTTCGCGAAAGGATTGTGCTATACACCTCCGAGGATACTTAACCTACTTTTTCCGCTGGTGCATCAGCCGCTCCGTCGATATCTCGATGATGGGTCTGCTCTCGTCTTTAAAAGTATGAGAATCAGTATGAGGCTCTGATATGCATGGTGTACAGTGGGATCACTGACAGAAACAATTTTACGGTATTATGTGGCTGGATAGTTGGTCGTATAAAATAGTAGTATGCCAAAAACGTAATGTGCGAAGTGTCTACATTATGGAGGATTAACACGACCAGACGATAGCGGAGGAAATTGTCGTGGCATCGAAAAAGAGAACATTTGGTGTCTTCGAGAGGATAAAAAGAAGGAAGGTGGACGTATCGATTAATCGAAAGGTATGCCCTTGTTATCTGTGTCCATGCTTAGTTGTTCTTCCATGAAATGACTTACTTACGATAGCAATATTTTCCCGAACAATCGACAGTAAATTTATCAAATTCATTAGACATAAACATAAAAGATCTAACCGACCCGCCCATTGGGGTGACATATATGACGTCTTATAAAGGATAAACCGTAATAAAAAACGGATCTGGTCTAACAAAGTCTTAATCAACAAATCTCAAATTTAAGAGTCATACATACGCTGACTTAAAAAAACAAACACTGAAGATTATTGCTACTGCTTCTCTTACTGCTGCTGGTCTTGTAACTGAAAACTCGTGATTTGTAGCGGAACCAGACAGCATGCGTAGTCAGCTCATTAGGCACCGGCGCTCTCGTCGCTGGTTTTCATTCATTGGCAAAAGGGATTCATACCAATCATCTTCAGGTGCTATTGCTACAAGACCAACAAATGATTGTACATATTAGCTCTAAGTAAATACTTCGTGTATACATGTATTTGCTCGGAGCAACTATCGGTATGACTAGTTCCGTAGCGAGTGACACCGATCGAAGCTGTCACACCCACAACGCGAACGTATATAATTCGCCTTCGTTATTCTTCGATGAAAAAGCGTGCCGCTACGACGTTAGTATTAGGCGACAAACAATCAGTCTAGAAAGGTGTTATCTCTGAGATGTTACCACCAATTTTTATGCTTCGGGTACTCAGAGATGCCATCGACGATTTGACGTTATGCAGTGCCGCACATCGGCTATAACAAATGCATGCCCAATGTATCAGGTACCTTCGAGGGGCGGTCATAGCCCTTCTTACGCGGCCATTCGTCACTGCCACGGCAAGACGACAGCTGCAGTAACATGATGCACCCACTATAACAACCGCAGCAGTAGCAACAACAGTTTAGCGCCAAACAACGGCCCTTCAGGAAGATTTTGCTGAGAGGAGTCCCGACCAAAGGCCCGTTGCCCGCCATCGACGTAGCTTTCAACATCGTTGTAACATCATCACATGAAGCCCTTCCTTCTCCCCCCGCTCTGCTTTTAGTCCCATAAGATGAAATTATTTCGTTTTGCAACCATAATTTGTGTTAATAGCAGATACAAAACAATGACAGTTGTTGTTACTATTATTATTATGACTGGCATGTACACATACAGAAAAATGGGCACGTAAGTATAAATATGTACGTGCGCAGTACCGAATCGCGACTCATGCAGTCTTTAGAAAATGATTACTCACTGAAAAAAAAAACGTTTTTGTTAGAGCTGTAGTCATATTATACTGTCGTAGCCAGGTCAAGCGGCTGGCGGAATTGTTTGTTGTTAATTACAAATGTATATGTCAAGGCGTACCCTTATCTGCTACCATGTTATGCAAATGGCTACCATGAACTGTTGACAAGTTCATGGTAGCCA